AGTTGGGGTAGTGCCGCACCAACGAAGCTCGAGGCAGAATCAGGCATGGCGGCTTGATGAGCAGCTGCATTGCGTTGTCCTTTGGACAGGAGCGCTCAGTAGTCCGCCATAGCCTTGGCCTACATGAAGAGGAAGAGGAAGGATGGTCATGGGTATGGTGGACCTCATGCTGTGCCTGCAGTAGAAGAGGGATTCGGACATTGATTCTGGTTCAGCCTTTCAACATTGTTATTGTTATTGAAGTTATTCCTTGTTTGAATAAGAGGGGAGGAGATGAGGAGAAGGAGAGTGGTTAGCGAAGAAGAATAGCATTATCATTGGTCTATGCTGGTCTACATCATCATCATCTTCTTCTTCTTTCCCTCTCTCCTCTCAAGTTCATTCATTTCTTTTTGCAGTTGAACGGCATTGTACTTTCTGATGAATGTGTACTTCGAAATTGGCCAGGATCATTACACATTCCCAGGCTCTAGGGATTTTCTCCTTCTCAGTCTCTTCAATATGGGTATTGGCAGGACTTGCAACCAAGGCACAACATTTCCAAAAATCAACATGACACTTGCAACCAAGGCATAACGTTTCCAAAAATCAACATGACACAGGGCCGATGCTACCCCTGCTTCATCCATAGGAATAATAGTAGAAGTACAAGGAATCAGAAACTCTGGCATTTTTTGTGAGGCGTTTGAGATCTTCCCTTTCTCATTCTCTCCGAGTTATGCACTAGAGGCCGAGTTATGCCATGACAATCAGCATCGCAACTTTGTGAACAAATCGAAAAGTCATGACACCGGCCCAACACTGCCCCTACTCCATAACTTCAGCAAACAATGGAGATACGAATAATGTCTAGAAGTCCTAGCCTCATGCATGGGATATGCAAAGCTCAAAGAGGAGTCCTTACAGGTTGACTCTTACCGTATAAAACTGTGATTGCACTGGTAGCTGCATAGAACGAGCGGCTGGAACTGACTGAACTGGCTGAACTGGCTGAACTGGTTGAACCGGTTGGGCACGAGGGATGAACGTAGATGCACTACCATACATATGAGTAGGTACATTCTGTGGAGGCATGGCTGGCTGAGTAATTTGGGAAGTCGGGTCCGGAATTGCTGATTGTGTCAAAGGACTTCGCTGCACAGGCTGCACAATCTCCCTCGGTACTGAAGCTTGTGGCTGCTGAACCTCGAACGGGAACTGTGGCGGCTCGACCATTTCATCACTCCCTGGCAGAAACGAAGGCATACAACCAACCAAAGTGGGAAAGTCAGCATTGCATTCCACTGGGGTATTTCGGTCAATCAGCACCTAACACCGGCCAGCCAACTGGAGTCTTGGGCTCACATAATTGACACAGAAACCAAGGTTGTCAGCCACTCACAAATGGAAAACTTTTGGCTGAGCTTCCCCGCATTTCATATCAATATTGCGGTTTCGCAACAGCAAGCAGAGGTTCACGTTCTAGTATTTCTACCACCTTACAGGTCTAAACCTCGAGCCATAGAGGTCTACCCCTTATCTCGCAGATATGCATCCCTTCATTGTCTTGTACCCTTAGCGTAGCGTAGTACTCATCATTGAATGACTGTTCCACACCATGCCATGCCGAGCACTCGTGGTGCTGCCTGTTTACGTATTCCGCCATGGCCACACTAGGTCGAAAACTCGAATTGAATAGTGCTGCTAAGGTTTTCAAGCGTTTCACTTTTACAGTTACCATTACCCGCAGGACTCTACCCTATCAAAGGATCGAAGAAAAGGCGGTGAACTGAAATTCTGGATCTTAATTGCATGGAGGTCTATCCCTCGAGCCAAAGATGCAATGACTTGCTGATTTCTGCTGCTGAGATCTGACTGCGAGGTTGCATAGTCATGTCTTAGCGTCAGATTCGTAATTTTGTTTGTGTCAGGGACTCACCACCGGTCCAGTCCTGAGGGAAATTCGTGAGGGACATATCTGCAATTTACACGAAAATTGCAGGCCCGAGTTCCCTTTCGCCGTTACTGTCCTTAGCAGACCCGGGGTTACTGTCCTTAGCAGACCCAGGCTATCACTAGGACAGCAGGCCCATTTGGGCCTTGGGCTGTAGAGACAGTCTAGACGCCGTATAGCCGAGTAGGGCCGAGGCCGAGCAGGCCAAACTGATGCGGTACCGGTCCAGTAGGTCTAGGTCTAGAGTAGGGTAGTCTATTAATAGGACTGAGCCTGTAGTTTATGGACTTTTGGCTTTTCATTTTCACGATGCAGCGTTGCGAGCCAAGCAAGTTGGTGGTGGTGATTGTCTACAGGCGGCATCCTGAGACCCTCGTCGTGGACGGCAGCCATAGCCAGCCTTCTGGAGGTTGCCATAGCTGGGCCATCCACAGCGCATCTACCCCTGGGGGTATCTGCGTCTGGTGGACCACTGTCGCCCGTCTTGCATCTGGAGATATTAGGGCTGTGTCAGTGGTGCGGCAGCCATAGCTGCCTGTTTCTTCGTCAGAGTTGTTCGTCGGCGTTGAAGACTTCATCCCCCGACCTGTTCTTTATCTAGGCGGTTGGCGCTGGCCTCTGGGAGGCCTTCTCAGTGTTGCGCTACTAACTGGGTGTAGGGTAGAGAGTGGAGTGTGGAGTTCTGAGGGTGGTGAGATACTGAAACAAACTCTGTAACGATAATTCGTTCAAGTTGGCTCATCATCAGTGTAAATCCTATTGTTATGCTTGCGGATGTCCTCTTGTGATTGGTTGTTGGGAGCATTGTCAGAGAGTGAGAAATACCGTCTCTCTATGGTTGTGTTTCGCTGCCTACTCTGTGCAGTTCGGACTCTGTCTCCTCTCCCGTTCTTCTTATGCATGTATGGGCATGTATGAGATTGTCTGGGTGTGCGTGGCGGTGAAAATCGTCAGACAACCAAGTTCATAACAGTTGGTATTGAAGCTGGGTAGGATTAGGGACACTGAGGGTTGAGCGCAACAGGGGCATCTTCTTCTTCTGAAGATGTTCTGAAGGGAGTTCCATGGCGGTTCGTCTTCTTCAGGGCTGAAGCAGTGGATAAGAAGATTTGCAGACGGTGAATTCAAGTGTACAGTGTCTGGATTGACCAGGCGCACTGTCCCTGCCAGAGCGCTTGTCAGAAGTGGCGAGTACAGGGCTACTTCGCCAAAGTCAACCCTGAGTGCAGATGAGTGATTTGCCTCAGAGCGGCGAATTACCCCTGAACACTGAGGATAACTGAGTGGCAACATCATCCCTGAGGAACGCTGAGCTAGATTGACTGCTAGAGTCAATCTCATGCAGAGTTGACCCCAATTGGGACTAATTATAGCATAAGCGGCTAACTGGGTCAGTGGCGAGATACTACCTGTTGACTCTCAGATCGCCACTGGACTAGATTCAGTGAATCTAGTAAGTGGGATTGAAGCGCCTCAGTACCCTGAGCAAGATCGACAAGTTTGAAGAGATTTTGTATGTGGGGATCAGAGGAGGAATTTCTGGAAGCAACTGGCGAGATAAGGGTTTCAGTTGCCATAGCCAGATCTTCAGCATCTTCTGAAGACTAGTACGTTCCAAATAGATCTCTGTATAGCGAATTATTTACTGTTAGTATAGTCAGAATTGATGGTCTTTCTGTCTGCCAGAGTCCAAATTTAGTTTTGTCAAACTGCAAGACAGCGCCATCTTCTTCCTATCTTCACTTTCTCATATCTCCCCCTCTGCTGACTCTTTTTGTCTCAAATCTGGTCTGGGACTGCATGACAGTATTGCGCTGAATCCTGTATGCTCAAAATGTGACTTTTGTACGGGAAAAGTACTGATACTGTGGAAGGTAATTTTGCGCTGAGTCTAATTATAGCCTGGGTTGTACAGATCACAACAACAGAATTGCGATTCACTACAGACTGACAGAATTGAATTCTGACGGGCAGAATTGCTGTCTCTTATACACATCTAGATGTGTATAAGAGACAACTACAATTCTGCCCGTCAGAATTCAATTCTGTCAGTCTGTAGTGAATCGCAATTCTGTTGTTGTGATCTGTACAAAAGCGCTTGACCAGATAATCAGTAGGGTAATTACAGTGAATACTGTAAATCGCCATACCTCTAGGTATGGCTGTTAGAGTCAACAGTGGCAAAATTTGAGTCTGTGGAAGGATTGAAGGTTACTGACTACATCGTTACATCTTGTTGGTCTGGGATTGTCTGTACTTACCACTCTTTCTCTCCCCACTGTATTCTCTTGCTTTCTAGTGGGCTCTGGAATTCTAGGATATCTCTGGGATCACTGGAATTGTTTGTACTAACTCCAGTTAAGGTGCTGGGTCAGTAAAAGGAAATCGTGTGACTGATTTTGCTGGACTGTATGTCTATCTGACCGCTGACCTCCAGAGACACAGTTCCAACCCCAATCGTCTGTTGCCCATTCACCCACCTACCTCTGTGGGAGAGAGAGGAACGATTTCTGAGGGTCTGAAGGAAATTGGATATCGCTGCATGCTCCCTTGTTTGTCTACAAACTATTGTTAACCTGAGAGTGGAAAATGGCAACTCAGGGTGCTCAGCACCAGCCACAGGGAGAAGTAGAAGTGAAGATAGAAGTCCCACAGACTTCTGCCTCCCCCTCTACTACACCCCTGACTGCTACTCGGCACTAGTAGTTACCGGAAAGACTGCAGCAGGAGCAGGCGCAGCTTGCAGAACTTGAGAGAGAGGAGGCAGCCGAGCTGGAGGCTGCAACAGATGCCTCACGCAGTGAGTATCTGTTGAAACAGCTGAACAAACCGATATCAGATGAGCGCTGCACCCTGGAGACTAGGAACTTGGCGGAGTGGGCCGTTCTGGAACACAAAGCCACTAGTTCCTAGTTAACCAACTGGGATGATCGCATGGGCCGTCTGGAGCGCAGAGTTGATGACCTGGCGGCTCAGCAGTCAAAGCTACTGGATACGGTTCAGGCTCCGACTGCTCAGCCGACAGCAGCCAAGCTGATTACTCCTCAGCCTCCTGTACCCAAAGTAAAACCTTCTCCTTCTCTTACTTCATCTCCCTCTGGTTCACGCCGTTCTTCCCCTTCACCACCTTCCTCCCACAAAGCCACAGGCTGCCCAACGCTTGAGTCTGTCCCTGCAGGTGATCAAAGGGGACCTAAGATCCCAGCGCCCAGACCCGAAGGTCGATGTTGGGGACTGGGCTGCAGGTACCAATGCCTACTTGAGAGGCTTCACATGTGCAGAGCAGACCAAGGTAGCAACGGTTCCAAAGAGTTGTTGCTGAATTTTTGCTTTTTTTCTTTTGTTTGTTCCTACTGCCATGATTTCAGCAGAGCTGTAACGCGCGTTGAAGGTGCATACTCTCACATGTACCCCAGAATCTGCATCCGGCTGCTTTCACGTCCCTAGAGGTAGTTGATTTTTATATTTTATTTTTTTGGTTCTTTTTTTTTTTCCATTTCCGAAGAGAAGCATAAAAGAAAACACAATGGGACCCAGGCTCGGCAACTTTTGGTGCGCAGTGAAATTCAGGGTTGGCAAAAACAGGCTCGGAGGTACTAGTGGTTTAACTGAGCCTGAATTTCGGAGCTGCTGTTGACCTTTGACTTTCCACGGTCAACTGTCACACGCAGGGCCTCTGAGACCCCCGTTTAGGCTGTGCTTTAGGTGCCCACAGCAGCGGGCCTCATATCAGGCAATTCCCTATGACTTGGGTGTGGCCTTTGGCCCCTGTTACAGCCCTTAGACCCAAGTGTTGATGTGCGGCTCAAGACTATTGCATATTTTACGTTGCGTTATTGCACATTTTAGAAAAATAGGTCAAATTATCCTCCTCTTTTATTTTATTCTGAACTGCACTATGGCCATCCTCTTGACAACGACATTGGCCCACCAAGCGCTCCAAGCATAATCTCAAATTTCATATTACACAGCAAAAGATTCAAGCACATAGAAACAGAAATTACAATGAAGAGGGTTGCTATATCTTGGCATCGGAGCGGCATAGCTTTGGGTGTGTGGGGGCGGGGGGAAAGGAGGTCCAAAGGAGTGGGGCAGGGGGACTCGCAGTAAAAGTCTTGAATCGTGAACACGGGTGGGGCAGTGGTACATCCTTCTCGGCAGGAAGAAATCACTGTCTCAGGCTCTCCCGACTGTAACTGAGAATGGCGTTGGTTTGTTACATGATTGGACACCATACCTGGTTTCCAGCTGTTTTAATAAAAGGAACGACTGTTCAACAGAAGAAAAGAAAGAACATCACTGTCATTTCTAGTCAGATGTGTGCTCTTATTCTTTTCTCCGCGAATAATCTGGATCATTTTTCAATGAGCATGCACCATCCTTGAGTGGGCGACTCAAGGGACTCCTCGCAGAGGGATTGGCAATAGCATCCTGTCACAACACACTCGTCAATTCTTCCCCATCCAACTCCCACACCTGGTCAGGGGGTATTTGTCAACCCAATCTCTAGTGATCAGAAATACCTTGCTGGATGCTGTGATAGATCCGTTCCTTCAATACTGCCAATTCTTGAGTCGACTGCTCATCGGGAATCAGTTTTAGGTACTCAAGGGCTGTGTTCAGTTGTCCTTGACTTGCTAGGAGCTCTGCATAAGCACCGACCAGCCTAGCCAAAGAAGCACCTGCCCTCTTCCGCCCAGTTGCGAGCCCAAGTACCACCGCTTTCTCCATGATATCCTGAAAAATATCAACAATTGTGAAATTAGCAAAGGACATTGAAATGCGACAGAATAATTTAAGACAAGTAAGAAAAGGAACAAACCAGCTCAAGGACTCAACTCGCAGGACACCCTATCGGATTTATAGGATGCAGAATTAGATGCTTTAAGAGATTTCCTTTTTACCTCACATAACGTTGGTTGTTTGGCATGATAGATGACCCGAAAAATGGGAAGTATACATCGGCACATGGGGCATGTAAATGATTGCATTGAACCATACTGTTCATCACCTTGAGCACACACGCACATACAGAGATCACACGGAATCCACACTGGAGACCAGAGATGCAAAGCCCACACTAGCGCAGCTTAGATATCTCTATGACACTAAAAGATACAAAGGGCCCGATCTCTATCTCCATACCTTATAAAAACTGCAACGGGCCCACCGTAACGGGAGACGCCGGACCCAACGGGAACTGCACGACGGGAACGAGGCGAGGAGGCAGCCCCGCGGCGCAGGCAAGTTCAAGGCAGTCCCATTCGGGCGGGGAGTCGCGACGCGCGGCGCTTTGGAGGCGGTCCCATTCGGGGGGGGTCTCACGGCGCGTGTCGTTTCGGCGCATTCGGCCAGCGTCCCGCGCGCGGCCGCGTCGCGTGTTGTTTCGCCGTGCGCGCGGCATTGGTTTAACGCCGGCCGGCACACACACACACACACACACACACACACACACACACACACACACACACACACACGATTCATTCCGATTTTGCTATCCTATCGATGGAAGTAGCATTGGTTTGACGCGAGCCACGAGGTTGAAGATTTATCGTCTCTCTCCCTCTCTCTCTCTCTCTCTCACACACACACACACACACACACACACACAAAATAAAAAAGTGGCAATGTATATTTCCACTTTCAGCGGATATTCTTTTGGATTTTGCTCATGCTATCGATGGAATGTGTGTGTGTGTGTGTGTGTGTGTGTGTGTGTGTGTGTGTG